ATGTGTGTGTGTGTGTGTGTGCGTGTGTCATTGAATCTGTTTTACAATGTTTGTGACGATGATGAGATATGAAAGGTGGATTAGTGAAAATTGAATCTGTTCTATAGAACCATAGGCATGATTATATATATGTTTTCTTCCTGGATAAGCTTATGTCATGGGGTTTTTCACTTTCTTTTTCAGTAATTGAAGATTATGTTATTATTATGTAGGATTGTCGGTTTACACTACAAATAATCACTTAAAGAGTTGTTTTCGCCTTTTGGTGCAATTATTAAAGGTATATGATCAATTTTTGGTATTCTTTTTGGTAATTTTGGGTATTTTTGTATCAAGATTATTAGAATTTATCGAATTAATGTTGCAGCTAGATATGTTCTCGATTCAAGAACTAAGAGGCCTAAAGGGTTCGGTTTTGTTACATTTGAAGTAGATGATGATGCCCATAATGTAATGAAAGCCATGAATGGGAAGATATTTGACTACTTTCTATATTTTATGGTTACCTATATTTTTTTATTTTTAATATTATTTTTTTTTTAATATTTCTTGAAATCTAATTTGTTTTATACTTTATGTAGATCCGACTTTTTTCCATGATTGAAGAAAAAGAGGAAGAACGAAAATGAAAAAGGTTGGAAAAGGAGAAGGCATGTAGGCAGTGTTTGTTTTTTTTATGATTGAATCGTGGATGGAATGCAATGGTTCGTTCCACTGGAATGAAAAAGAAAATGTTTTTTGTTTTGTCTTATGGATGAAGTTTTTATTATTCTATACGTGCTATTTTAATTTAATTATTTATTTTATATTCTATTATAGAGAAAAAGTGTAATGCAGATATAAGGACCCTAAATTATAGAATTTCATGAATATTTACCCACGCAAAAATGGCACAATTTTTTTTTTTTTTTTTGTGTGCGTTGTTGTGAGTAAAAGTGTCACCGAAGTCTTCGAGTCAAATGAGCATTCAGTGACAGAAAATATATGCTAGAAGACTTTCATCTAACGCGACAAACAAAAAATGCCACAAAAGCCTCAAAAACTACAGCGGCAAAAGCAAAAAGTGTCAATAAATGGTTTTAGTGGAAACGTTTCTAGTGACATTTATTATTTTTGCTGCCCATTCTTTAAGAAGCTTTTAGTGGCATTTTTTTGAGTTTTTAGTGACATTTTTTGTGTGCCACTAAATGATATATATTTTGTAGTGGAATCACTTACTTGAGCTCGGTTGATTGCACGCATCACACCCATTCTTCTTTATAAAAATCCTTTTACAAAACTAATTTCCTTTCAAAATATTATCATTTCCTCAGTTTGAGTTTAGACACACCCGAGAGTGTGTCTGAATCCCTCAAACCAAGTCTCTGATACCAACTTTTACCATCCCGAAAATTCAAGATAGAAATAACATTTAAACATCAGAGTAAAAGTTATCAATGCGGAATAAACTCTGGGGGATGTTGTGCAGTCACGCCGGGTCCTTCCCTTTTGAACCGGAAGTACCTGAAAACATAAACATAAAATGTAAGAACAAATCTTAGTTAGTTCTCCAAAATACCACATACCATACATATCATTGGGCCTAACCTGCACATTAGGCCCAACCCATACTAATAGGCCTAGCCCGTGATACAATGGTCCTAGCCCAACCTATAATAATGGGCCCAACCCTATCATTTAGTTGGGCCCAGCCCTACATGCATGCCCTTGGACCCAGCCTATCATACAAATGCAAGAGTCATAAAAGACAACTAACATTCTACATAACATATCCTAGTGGGCCCACATTGGTGTCGTCGACCCACGGGTACAGTAGGGAGGCTCACCTCACAAACAAACGAAATAGTTGCAACAATATGCTGCTCCGAATACCAACTATACCGGTCACCTTTACAAGTAACAGTGACCAAAATTTAGACTATAACTCAAAATACCCAAAACACCCCTAAGTCAAACTTAGTCAAATCCTAGTCAAAATCAAAAGTCAACTCATCTAGTCGCCACATCATGGCCTCCTAGGCCACATCGTGGCCACAAACCGACAAAACAGATGGGTCTTGACCAAGTCACCACGTCGTGGCAATCTCAATCACACCGTGGTGATGAGTCTGTACAACTTAAACCGATAAGTTATTTCCTTTAACTGCAAGAGCCCTAAGGCGCAAATCTGGTCCTTCCTATGGTCTTGATGGGTAAAGTTTCAAACTTTATCCCTCAAACCCTTCCATAAGCCAAAGTTCCAACCCTAAACACTAATGGTAACTTAATGCTTCAAGATTCTCATTAAGCACCAAGTCCTTAAAGTTGCACCTCAAAGAAACCTTAAAAATCGTAGCTTTATGTTCTTGCATGTCAAATACATGTCGTTTCCATTTTAGGTCAAAAATAGGGTTTAATGACTAAAACCCCATGCATGACATCAAAACTTCTTATAATTCAGATCCAAGACAATAAATGCTCTATTTGATTTGGAGATTCATAAATTTGTAAAGTTTATGAGATCTCATTACTTAAGTCCATCAAAGCATGGGAAAAGAGGACAAAAACAAGAGATCTAGCAACATGGCAAGAAAAGGTTGAGTCTTGGGCACTCACCAAGGTCCAAGAGTTAAGCTAGCTAAAGAAATGTTGCTTGCCAAGTAACCACCACACAAAGAGCTTCTTTCTCTTTCTAAAATCTCCAAAAGCACCAAGAATGAGCTCAAAACTTTAATGGAGGATAGGGTTAGGGTTTATGAGGTTGGGAGGAAGATGGAGGATGAAACCTTGGCCTTATTGTTCCTTATATAGGGTCCAAAGCCCGAAATAAGGTTTTTCTCTAAAACACCTGCCACGTAGTGGTGCCCTAAGACCACGTCGTGGCGGATCATTTAAATCCTGCGATCCAAAATGCTCTACCATGTCGTGGTCATGCTCCACCATGTCGTGGTCATGCTCCACCATGTCGTGGCCACCCTTTTTAAAATAAATACAAGAAAGTTGATTCTTACTTGGACAGGATGTTACAAAACAAACCTTAGCTCAAACAGAACCTTCTGCGGAATTGCACGTTACCATAGGTTGAATCATCCTCAAAATAATGTCGGATTAGCAGTCGTTCATCCTCTAAACGATCTTTTTGGATTGTATTTCTCCATTGAATGTTGCTTGAACTAGCATTATTCTGAAGAAGAAATTGTGCAGTACGAGACAATGCAGGTAACAAATTATTATTGATAAGTTCATCCTCGATGATGAACTATCATCGTTACTTTCTATTACTATTTTCCGAATGTTTGGATTCATTTTGAAAAGAGAGAAAAGATAAAGAGAAAATGAAGCAAACACACACACACACACACACACACACATATATATATATATATATATATATATATATATATATATAATGAAACAAGAGTACATATAGAGAATATTAATAATAAGAAAAAGAAAAAGAAAAAGAAAATAAAAAGGAAAAGAAAAACATTATAATAAAGAGAGAGATTCTCTTGTCAAATGATGCCAATATTTGAACTTCATGGGTTCTCCAACTCTCGACCATACTTAGTTGTAATTTGTCGTTTCCTTTCAAGCATCGTGTGCAAAATAGCACCAGTCAAATGATCATGCGGTCGGAAAAAATATTTCATATCTTGGTTCTCAATCTCCTGGTCCAACAGTGGAGCTTTTCATTCTTCATTTGCTTGGTAAATGCGTAATTTTTCTTCCCAGTACCGCTGTCCGCCTCTATGTTGGTTGGAGTGTTGATCTCGGCAATTTGTTTGACGAGATCAAACATTTCATTTTGTGTTGACGATGTTGATGCCACTTTCTTTCCTTTTCTTTTTTTCTAAGGCGGTGAGTTTTCAACATTAAATGTATGTTCTTGTTTTTAAGGTAATCCAAGGGGAAAATGTGCATCGAAAGATGTTGTGTATGCGTTGGATGAATATGTTTTTGTTTGTTTTGAAGAAAGAGGCGAGAAGTCTTCCCCATGACCCCAGCTTTTGTAACCAGTTCCCATTTCGCGTTGTCTTTCAACCACTCCCAAACTTGCTGATGAGGAAAAAATATTTAATTAATAGTCCTCCAATACTCGCTTAGTGAAGATTGTAAAACGTCAGCCTCAGATCTCCTGCCAGCCACATTGTACATCTTACGATTATAGATGCAGTTGAAAACGTTACATTCTTTTGTAGGTCTTTCCATTTTGAGTTTATTTGGTGTCGTGACCAATCCGAACCTCCCATTTAAACATTAAAATGCTCTAGAATCCTCTCCCAAAATGCATCGAACCTTTGTTGATTTCTTTGTTGTTTATCTTTAGAAACTTCGGTATATACACTAACCAAAGCCCACTCTTCGCATTCCACCTAGTTCTTTCGATTCAGGCGGTGTATATAGTTGTATTTTTTTTCTCAGCAACGGGTTGCAACTCCTCGCTGGTTTCTTCTTCGTTTCTTTCGGGAGTCGGGTCATCACTAGAACTTTCAGATTCTAATTTCTGAGCATCGCGGAACCAGAAATTTTCGGGTTCAGAATATTGGAATTGGGTTTTTATAACCCTTTGGTAAAACTCTTAAGGGTCTAAAGCATTCGAGATGTATTTCAAAGAGATTTTTGGAAAGCACCTATGTTCCACATGGAGGTGAATACATGTAATCACGCCAATAAGTAATCAACACAAAAGGAAAAGCAATAATAATAAAAAAAAGTTTAAAAATCAATAATGAAACAAGAATGAAAGTACATATTACATTATAATCACGCCAATGAGTAATCAAGACATGATTGTATCGTAGGAAGATCAATGTTTATTGAAGAAGCGACTAACGAAATCCATGGATCAAGACTTTTGTAAGAACTTTCATGTCAATTAGGCTTAACTGCAGCATCATAAATCATACTGAATGCCTTCTCGGTGCATGTACGAAACTTCACATGATCTATGAAATCTTTTTCAGCTCCTACTGCAACCCTCAACTGGTCCATGTAACTCACTACTGTTACTGTAAGACTCTGCAACAAGTTATCATCGGAAAACATTCTTCATAGTTTTAGTAATGACGTAATATGCATGGATCCAGTATTGAGCACGCTAAATTATTAAAATGGACTAAAAATAAACTAGAAACAAAAAATTGATTATACCTGTGGGAAATTCACTCCCATAAAATACATTCCTTTAACCGTTTGATTGGAAAGAGTTATTTTCTCAAGTGGCCCAATCACATTTGTCACCAGTATGCTTGAATTCTTTAGGGTTCTATGAACGTATCGAGAGGTTGCCTTAACATTTCAGAGCAACTTAAATTCAGATGCATAGAAAAATATGAGTACGCTTGAGAGCTAATGCATGATGTAGACATACCTCTGGACCTCTAAATTTTCTTATAGATTCAAGTAACATTCCATTGAGATAGACAGCAAAGGAGTTTCTCTTTCTTTTGACGATATTTTGTGTTTCTTGAACAAATTTGAGCGGATTCAAAGGATTGTCATTTTGGTGAAGCTCTGGTAATGGAATGTGCAAGAAAAGACATTGGTTTCCCCACAGACTTTTAGCTTCCTGATTTTGAAGCATCTCATCCACAGACGTGTAACCACTAATAGATCTAGTGTTAAGCACCACCAAAGCTGTAGACCTTGCATTTCTTGCTTCTTCACTTGTTGCTTCCATGTACAATCTTATCCCCAGGAAAATCATTCCGCAAACTACATCATTTATTGTCTGTGTAACAATAAATTTACATTCAGAAATATAAGACAGAGAAACTAGTTGGAAAATGTACATAGGAAAAATATATTTCTAATTGTTAGCATTTATTTCATCGTAAATAAATGAGAAAAATCTAAAAGCCCTGTCACTTTCAAATATGTTCGCTAATTGTTTATTTTTTAATCAATAACTTTTTGTGGCTTGCAAATTGTCACAGATTTAACAATTCTTTTACATTTTGGTCCCAACATGATTCCACTGGAAATTTTAGCTTTTTAAGATTATGTTCCTTGTAAAAAGTCTTCTTCTTTTTTTTTTTAATTATTTGTTATCTTAGTTAAGATAGTCAGTGACGGAGCTTGAACATTTATTTTGGGGGCCGAAAGTATAATATACATAAAAATCGGAGAGCAGGGGGCCACAACATAAATTTTATATTTTTAGGCTAAATATGTATATAAACTAAAGTGGAAGGGCTATTTCTAACAAAAAATTCAGGGGCCACAGCCCCCCTTGCCCTAAGCAAGCTTCGTCCATGAAGATAGTATTATTAGACAAAATTGTAGATATATGGTCCTATGGTTTACAAAACTTGCAATTTTAGTCCAAGTTTGCATTTTCTTACATGGTTGTCATCCTGGTTTCATTTTATTACGGTTTTCGTCCCTATTGCTTAGTTTTTTTATATTTGATCTAAAATGACGATTATACCCCTAGTTTAATTTTGTATTGATGATATTAACTTTTTTTAATGTTTATTGCAAAGTTATATTATACCCCTACAACACCTCCCATTTCCCTCCGCCTCCACATCTCATTCTTTGAAATACCCCTTACCCCACGCATATCTATTTTGGTTGAATGGGAGTGGTTGATCCTTATAATTTTATAATTATGTAACTTGTAAATGTGTAACCTGAAAGTGACAATCCATAGTAGAGTGTTTCGTAGTTTATAAGAAAAGTTAAGATAAGAGAATGTTGATGTACCAAAGTCATGTATCTGAGGTGCCATTTATATTTGAAGTTGTTTTTTTTGTAATAAATGTTGGTTAAGAAAGATTCGCATATATAGTGCTTTTAGTACCTAGATAAATATCTTATGCTATCTTCTGTCAATATCTACTTTTTGTTAGAATAGATCCTTCTTATTTCCCTATAAATAGTTAACTATATATATTGAGCATTATAAGAGTGGATCAATAAGAATTGTTATTTTAATTTATTGTTAATGATATTACTTTTTTCCTTCCATATCATGCTTATCATGTTTATTTTCCTTAAGCTTATTCCTTTATTTTTATAATTTATATTAGTTGTTAATTGTGTTTATTTACATTATGTACCAATTAGTCATTTGTGTTTTGGTTTCTTGAAATGGTATAAGCGCCTAGGTCGTTGTTTGATCTCTAACTTCTTGGCTTATCGTTGTGAGAAACATACGTTTCTTGCATTTTTGGGTTCTTAAGAAATTATTCTTGAAATATAGCATTTTTCTTAATTATTTTAAAAACAACTATGGCTAGTAAGAATTTGTAGCCAATATATGTTGTAAACATCAAATAATTTGACATGTTCCACCATACTTCCCATACTGATTGTAGAGGAATACAATCAATGGAAAAGATGAATAAAAACTATGTTTAAAGAAAAGGAAATAATGTGTGGCGAACCATAATTGAATGCCCTTATGTTGTCGATGAAATAGTTGTTGATGTTGTTGTTATTCTCCGCGGTGTAGCAGCTCAACAGCCTCCTGGACCTCTAACTTCTCAAGATCTTTCAAAATTTGAGAATGATGAAATTGCTTTTATCGAGCTAGTATATGGTATTCCTGTTATTTATTTTACCATATCAAGGTGTCCACTTCGGCTCATGTTGTATGGGTAATACTAAAGTATTATTCGAACATAAAATGTTAAGAATAAAAAACATACTTCAGCAATCAATGATTTCAACAATTTTCATATCTTTCCTAGTGAAAGATTAAAGAACGTTGCAACTCATTTTACACTTATTTTAAATTAGATAACAAATGCAAATACCATCGAAACAAATTTGGAAATTAATCTAAATTTTAAAAAAACTAGAGGACCTCTTGCTCTTGTCTCTCAGACCTCTCATAACGTTTTTTCACCCAACACATATATTGATTCAGGTTTCAACCCTATGGAAGAAAAAGAGGAGGAAGAGTTTTTTTAGAATGAGTATGCATTGCTTGTCCAACGTTATAGTTACAGCTTCTGAAACCATCCACATCAAAATAAGCCAATGTAATTCTCAAGAGCTAACATCTCAAGACCTCCACAATATCAATTTGTTGGATATATATGCTCAAGAATCATTATTAAGTGATGTTGCTAATAACATATGATCATATAGGACCACACATTTATCAAGTTGACACATTTTGTATATTTATTATTAATATGATTATTAATATCAATTATTGTATTTAATTAGAGAATTATTATTTTTTTGTGAAAATAATAATTAAAGTGAGTATAATTAGTTATTATATCATATGGTATGACTTAATAAGTCATGTATAAAGTTTTGGACACTTTGATTAATCATGATTAAGTTTGTTAACTAGTGTTAATACATAAAGAAGCTTGGAGACAATTTTTTTCTCTTTCTTTTGTTATGTCCGAAAATCCTTTCAAGCAAGGGAGGTTTCTTGTCAACCTCCCACCCATGCTCACCATGCTTCTAAAAGCTAGTGAATACTTTATATTATTTTATTGTATAGCTTTATTTTTGTATGGAGTATATAAAGGAGTGTTTGCTTGCATTTTTGAACACTTCCTCTCTTAAAAAAGAACCAAAGTCGTAGCTTCTCTCCATGATGTTCTCTTGCTTTCTTTTGAAGATCATTCAAGTCTTTGGTGGCTTAAAGTGCATCTCCTTTAGTGCTTATGAGTTAAGCACTTAAAGGCTTAAGAAATACTTTATATAAGAAGGAACTAACATTCTAAGTGCCTTAATCTTTGACGGTGGATACTTGTAGAGAAATCATACTCTTTGATTATTCTATCTTCATCAACACCCCAAAACCAAGTGGGTTCAAAGGCTTCAAATGTTTTCATTCTAAAACACTTTACGGTTGTTTTTAGACTAAACTGCACAAATGGTCCCTGTGGTTTGCTGAAAATTGTCAATTTGGTCCAAAAACGTTTGGACTAGCACCACAGGTCCAAAGTTTTCATATTGTTGCGAATTTGGTCTGATTTGCTCTAAACGTTTTTGAAATGACGATTTTACCCTTGCTTTTGCTTTTTCAGTTTCTTTATTTATTGAAATATTTGTATGATTAAAAAAATAAAAAATACATCTTTCTCTCTCACACACTTACTCTCTCTCTCTCTCTAAACCCCAAAGAACACTAAACCAGTGGTACACCACCATCACCTTCCATTGCAACGATGAAATCTATAGCCCATCATCTCCCACATCCCCCCCCCCCCC